TCCATCCATCCATCCATCCATCCATCCATCCATCCATCCATCCATCCATCCATCCATCCATCCATCCATCCATCCATCATCCATCCATCCATCCATCCATCCATCCATCATCCATCCATCCATCCATCTATCCATTTTCTTACACCCTTGTTCCCAGTATTTCATCTTAAGTCCAGGACATAATAGTTTTTTTGTTGTTGCTGCTGCTTTTACTACCACTAGATGATACATGAAAATAGAATATATATTGTAGACAGCACTGTCAGAGATGCAATCAGTTTATAACAGGTGTGAAAATGATCTAATTCCCTGACTGTTGATTGCAGCAATCCACATTATTAGCAGAAACAAAAGCAATACTTTCACAGGACATGGCTCCAATAAAAGAGGTTTAGTTTTCCTTGCTTTCGTCTCCATATTTGTAGATTCAACTCAAACTGTTTCCAACTCTTTCAAGCAAAAAATTTATTTTTAGGTGTTTTGTGTGAGCCTGGAGTTGAGACATGGTATCTAAAGATCAATGATTTAAGGAGTAGTTTTGTCCAAGACGTAATGTGTACAGATTCAACATGTGATATGAGTTCATGACTCCAGAATGGTGGAAGGAGAGAATTTTCTCCCACAATTTTGCTTAAGGCTCTAATGATGCATGCAAAGAAAATTTGTTTTGGTTACGACTTTTTTTTTTTTTTTTTTTGACAACAGAACTTGTGATAGATTCAAATACACCATCACTTCCCACAGGCCATTACTGGTGGGTTTTATCTTGCACTTTTGAAGTTGCGGTGGCACCATGTGACAACATCAGAGAGGAGCAACGTTATCCCACCACAAACATTTGATTTTACACCAGATATAATACAATCTAAACTTAGTTTTGATTTTGAGAAGGTGGCTCTGTGCTAAAGTTTCTTGATCGTGTCATGACAGACGATATCAAGGCGAGTTGACTGCTGAGTTAACACAACCTCAGGCTATTGGGCAGCTATTAAGTTCCACTTTGTAGTTGAATTTTAAATTTATTGATATTCCATAAAATTTAATCAAAGACATATTGAAAAGTCACACAAATGCGATAAAACATTACTAATTTCTCAAATAGTCTCTTTTAACTTTTACACATTGGCTTTTGCCTCATATGACCTGTTTGTTAAAGCAGACAATAAACAAACCAGGATGGAGGAAAAAAAACATCTGTTTCATTGACATCAATAATGACAAGCAGAAAGAATGAGGTTAGTGCAGCGTGTGAATGTACAGAGTGACCAGGTTATTCCATGAATGGATGGAAACTCTAAAAATGTATTTGGGCTGTTGTTCATGTTATGGACTTATTTATGTTAATCGCACTTAATTCTTCTGGTTTAATGATGACGACTTACTGTTTTGTGTTGAGTTAACTTAAAAGTTACACATTTTTAATCTAAAGGATTATTTTACTTTGACTTTGCTTGAAACAATTAAATTCAATGTCCAACATCTGATGTAATGACAAAAGCTTCGCCAGGAACAGAACCAAACAGGCTGTGGTGCAGGAGCCCAACAGACCTACGCAGGGAGACCTCAGCCCTCGACACGGCCGTCTCAAGTTCGATTCCTGGCCTCATGATCTTTTATTACATACTACTATTAACTACTCTTAATTACTCTCAAATAAAGCCAACCTGAGCCAAAGAAACAAAAATTAATAAAAGATCCTTTACTAGTTTACTTCAGTATTTAAGGTTAACTAAATCATTTGAGTAAGAATGACTTAAATGTGTAAAGTTAACACAACATGATAAATTAATTTGATAAATTTAATTGAATTACTTATCAATTGAAGCGATTCAATTAAATTGGTTCAGTTATTCTCTTTGAGTACACTGGTATTCTCCTCTGATGTCAAGGTGACAACGTTAGGGTTCATCAAAAAGTGTTTGCATACATGGGTTGGCCTCCACAAAGCCCAGACTCGAACCCAAGAAGATCCCTGCAGACATGTTGCATGTTATTGTTGATATGTGTAAATTTTGCGCATGCTTTTAGCCATACAGGAATGCTGTATGGCTAAAAGATGATTCTTTTGCTTACCATCCACAGCGGTAGAACAATTCTGTTAATAAAATGAAACGGAATGATTTTTAATTTAGTACAGTGTGCCACAACAAAGGGAAAAATAACACGGAAAAACCATTGAAGAATAACTCAAACCCCTTTGCAGGGGTGCGGGGTCTGATGCACATAATGTCAAGTTGCAACTCGTCTTTAAGATCTTGGTGAAAAATAATGCAAATCTGAACAGAAAGTAAGATTGTGCTTTTCCAGGAGTTCTTTCAGACCTGAAAACAGTCTGAGAAATATTAGTGTGCTTTGTTTTGGACTGACAATTTAAAGAAAATATTGAATGTGAAATTTATTGATGCTTAATGATATGTTAATGGAAAATATCGCAAAGCTGAACTTTACTCAGTGATGAACAGCAGGATTTGAGCAGACTTTCTTGTCATCACCTCTTCATCAGCTCCTCTGAGTGGGCAGTGATGTCTTGGTGAAAGATTTCACTGTCCTCCTGCCTGCATCACACCTCTGTTATCTGTTGCACTAAGAGCGATAGCATTCCTTTCCTCAAAAGAGAACACACACACACACATAGGCAAAAAGTGCACACATTTGTCCTGAACTCTTTGGACTAATTTTAGGAAGGGCTCCATTGGTGTCGCAGTAAACTGGATGGAGGTGTGAAGGTAGGTCTATCAGAGGCTCAGTCCTTCTTCGGACACACGGCTGGCAGTCAAATTTCTGATACTGGGATGCTTCCAGGATGAGGAACGCATTTAAAAACGGTGGTCTGAACAGTCGATGCTTGGTTGTTTGATCTGCCAATGAAAATTAGCAGAAAATGTCTTCTTGTGAGCCAATGAGATAAAAAGTCACAAAATCTTAGTTAAAAGTTGGTAGAAAACTGGATGAATCCTGATGAAAGAAAAGCTACAAAAGAATATTTTAGATGACAAAAAAAACTTCTGAGTGCTAGCTTATCCCCTCAGAATATTCACTAATCAATCATCAATGCTCTTCTTGTAGTCTGTGGTGTTATTGTTTCTGTTTATGTGATGAGGCAGCTGGAGATGTGATGCTGATATTCTCTTTGTGCCTTGTTGTCTGATGAACATTATATGCTATTCAAGTCTTTCTTTATTCTAAGTCCTTCACACTATGGGGCCTCGTGTCACATGTCTGAAATTGTAAAATTACATAAATAGATGAAATCACAGACAGTAAATCAATGTTGTCACTTTAATCTAAATGGAAAAGATGCTGAATTAACTCTTAATAATGTTAAAATTAAGTTTATATTTACTGAAATTAACAGTGCTCTCTGTAATGACTAAGTTTCAACCCAACTTAGTCATTTTAAATAATGTGGTTTGGCCCCCTGCTGTTCATATCATGGTACTACATTAATTCCGATTTTATTCAGGTCCCTAATGGACAATTCTTTTTACAAGAAGGTACAATAGAAACACCAATAATTAATATTTAATTAGTGCAGAGCTCCAGATTACAATAGAAAAAAACAAGACAAAACGAAACAAAAAACTGTCCATTAAAACTATGTCAGGTGCAGGAAGGACTAAATGCTGAACAGTTAATAAGCCAATAAATATATAATACTTAACATTTGAAATCCCTCACTTTAAGAAATAACAACACAATTTGAACTCAGAGCTTAAAAATACTAAGTGTTTCCATCAACTACAAGACTAACAGCTCCTCCCCCAAAATCAGTGTTTCTCAATTCCAGTCCTCACGCCCCACCCCGTCCCGCTCCACTGCATGTTTTAGGTGTTTCACTTCTGCCACACACTAGAATTGAATCGGTGGGTGATTCTGCAGTACTTGATGGCTGCAGAAGAGGTCATGCAATTGTTTGAATCAGCTGCCCTGGAATAGAGGCACATCTAAAACATGCAGAGCAGGAGGGCCTGAGGGTTGGAATTGCACTAAGTCAAGAAGGGAGACATTACTAGGAATAAATTGATGTTTACACCTATTTCTAATAGTCCAATATAAACAGGCAATTACTTGCATTCACAGTTACTAGTTTTCTAGCAGCAACAGTTGAAGTTAAAATGATTCAATTTAGATTCTTTTTAAAGTTTTGCAGGTTGGCAGTAGAACCAAGCGCAGAAAAAACATGATTAGTTTTAAAGGGACAGGATTTTACAGCATACTATGTTACCTTCAGTTACTATAAAATGTTGTCTGTATCAAATATGTCTTAAAAGACATTCGACTTTGTAATTCATCGCCTTTAAATTGGGCCTCTGTCTCTTTAAGAAACTCCTGCTCTTTCTGAAACTCCGCCTTCAGGAAGTCATGAAGGCGGAGTTTTTACCAGCACTGCACTGAGAAGTAGCTGCTATCGTGAGCTCAGTAGATGCTCCACCAAGTATTTGCTAATTACTGTTGGCTAGTCTGAAGGAGCTGAAAAGGGGAAGTCAGAGGAGGGCTGCTCTGTGAGGTGGAAGTGGAGCTGCAGTTTCCATGTTTCTCAAAGCTGAATGGTTGCCATGGACATTAAAGGATTTCTCAAACATGCATGAAAGAATCAAAGCAGCACTGCAAATATATTTTTGATGAGGGAGTAACTTTATAATATGATGTAAAGCTCAAAAATGTTGATTTTACATAATACTGCCCCTTTAACGATGAAAACAAAACTTGTAATGGACAATGGAGGTCAAATAAAGATGAGCAAACTTTCTGACATTATATTTAGTTAATCCTCTGAAAATGTAGGTTTGAAGCAGTTTGTGCATCAGTGAGTCTTGGTGTGAGTTCAAAGCAGTCGGCTCATGTCAGCTGCTTTAACATTCAGTCAGGAGGAGACAGCAGGTGTTGGGGAGGGGCACCAGGACAGCTGCTCCTCTTTCTGTTTCTGAATCCCTCCTCCCTTTTCTTTTCTTTTTTCCTTTATTTTCTCTTACTCAGATGTTCCTCTGCAGAACCAGCAGCTTCACAGATCTGACAGAACTCCTTCACACACAGATAACATTTATCTGTTTGCATGTGTTGACAGTCAACTTAAGGTTTGTTCTTCATAGTTTTTATTGTTCCATTTATTAACATTCACTGAAACTGTTTAACAATAGCTGAGTTGGCAATGATGCTGGTCATTTCCTTCTTGTTTATGATTTTCGAAGCATTTTGGACGTTTGATGTCTTCCAGATGATGATCTCTGCGCTGCTGCTGCTGCTGTTACTCCTCATTTCTCCTTCATCCTCTTCTCCTCTCACAAAGGTAAACACTGACCATGAACATTTCAACTGTTTTGACTGTAGACGCTGGAAGAATTTATTCGTGATCATAATGACCGCTGCTGAAATACTGTACATTTTTCAAAGCTTGAGTGAGTTTATTGCAAGAAGTCAGAATTTCTCTGAAGTCATGCTAGTTGATCCGTTAAGTTTTTACTGACACCAGCTGCGTTTTCATTGTTATCTCAAGTCTGGACTTGAACATGGTTGCAGTAATCTGGCTGTGCAGCTGTAATTATGGTCAATGTGAACTCTATCCTCACAGTGCTTTCAACACAACTGAGTAAGAGGCGTTTTTTATGCATCAGGGTTGATTTGGTAATTTGTAGGTGTCATGACACGATGCAGTCGAACAAGATTTACAGAAACAGATCCACAGACTCACAGAGCCTTCACCGTGCCTCCAGTGGACTTGATGAAGCTTTCCATACACATTCTTTGCTTCAAAGTGAGAAGTTACAGTTACAGTTTCATCAAATATTAACAGAATTCAGACATTTAAAAACATATTTTAATGATTGCTATGGTGTTTTAGTGATCACAAGAATCCTCTTTGTGCTGCATTTCTCTGAGATCAGGATTTCTCCTCCACCAAAATCAACTGAGATCATTTTTGTAATTTAACCTGTCAAATGACATTCATAAAATGTCACAGTTTCAAATTAAATATTTAATTATCAATATAAATATTAAGTTTACAAAAAAGTATTCATAAATACTGTATTTATTTCACAAGCGAAATATTTAACCATGAGCTAAATCTTTAGTTCTCGTACTAAATATTAATCATTTTGTTCAAAACAACGACATTTATAAACACACACACACACACACACACACACACACACACACACACACACACACACACACACACACACACACACACATATAGCAATGCACTGTGAGGATAATGGATATTTTTGAGGCGATGGACAAAGAGAGATATAATTCCAGCTGAACCTGCAGACTAGTGACAGCAGGTCTTCAGCGCAGGGTGGGGGCGCTGTGTCCGTGAGTTAACTACCCCATGGCTACATTTAAAACAACATTGTGATCATTAACATCTTTATGACATTATGAGTATTATGATGCTCTGTTAGCTGCAGACCAAACACTCAAGTCCAGAAAGCATCTAGATTGGCTTTCTGGACTTAAACCCCAGACCTCCTCAGGACTTCTTATGGTTTGCTCACAGACATCTTTTGCACCTTTTTGGAGGATTTTCAGAGTCCTTTCCTCTGAAATATGTAACAATTCTCTTGTTTCAGTCACATTTCCATTTGCTGATGTGGGTTTATCTGTTTTTGCTGAAATTCAAATTTCAGGTTGATTCTAGACATTTTCCTTCTCTTGATCAGCAAAAACACATTACTGCAGTCATTTTAACTTTATCATGTATGTTATAAAAATTTCTTAGTAATAATTTTAACAGCATAGAGCCACCAAACTATATATTTGTAATATTTTCTACACTAATCTGATTTCTATCGAATTTTACACAAAGAGAAAGTTTCAATTAAAATTAAAAAAAGAAAAAACGCTCTGTTCCGCTATGCAGCTGTTTCTGCTGGGCCTTGCCATTCATGCTTGAGGTTAAAGGTCACCATCTGGAGGACGAAAGAGAGTATTGACCCCCCACACAGGTTTAAACACACACTTTGCCTGTGTGTGTATTTTAGGATCAGCCTGTGTGCGGCGGGATGCTGTGTGGTGCAGGCAGGGAGTGTGTGTCGACCGACAGAGGACGAGCGGAGTGTCGCTGTTTACAGGTACAGATTTATTAGCTTTTCTTCTTATTGTTTTCTGATTTTACTCAGGTAGAATAAATCTTGCATCCTGCAGTGAATCTGAAACATTGTTTACAGAACCTTATCCCTATAGAAAACCCTGCAGAAATCTGACAAGCGAGGGTGAGAACTGTTTTCTAACTTTTTTCTGGCCAAATTTTCTTAACTCTCACCTCTAAATGTCATGTGAAATTAAAATAAGAACAAAAAAATCCTAACTAATAATTGAAACACTTTAAAGTTCTCTTGACTTTCTCCTTCGATGAAGTGATCAGGCTGCTGACAGATAGACTGTTTTCCTGTAATGTGAGACCTGTTTCTCCACCACTAGCACATTGAGCAGCTCGTACCTGAGTGTGATTAATAGCACTATGATCTTCCACATAGTGGAGGTTACAAATATGCAAAAAAAATCTTTTTTAAAATAAAACTGATGTACTGCAGCTTTAAATTGCTTTTGTAAAATGCTTCCATTCTTTATTTTTCCGTTGTCTTTATTCTTGCTGTCTGCAGCTTTGTGACGACTGAGCGCTGGGTGTGTGGCAGCAACAACAAATCCTACCGCAATCACTGTGAGCTGCACAGAGACGCTTGCATTACCCAAACCAAAATACACATGGCTCACAGAGGAGTGTGTGTGGGTGAGTTCACATTCTTCTAACAGGCTGTCATCACCCTGGACATGATAGAAACTGTGATCTTATGAGGCGTTTTTGTTTCTTTCTTTTAACTTGCAGTTAAGCTGACAAAGACAGATGTGAGTCCAAGTAAGTGAGGCTTTTGTAAAAGATTAAACATCAACATTTTAACTCTTTACGTTGTAAATTATTGTCTTACATCTTAATCTGCAAGTGGATCTGTCTGCTTGTGTGGCTTGTAGTTGTGTGTTTTCTGTCTGAGCGGGATCGGCTGAGAGAGCAGGCGATCCGGTGGATCTACTCAAAGATGGAACAGAATCATTTGGCCTCAAACGCCTCATCATCTTCATCATCACAGTCATCATCCAGTGAAGTCCTGGAAATGTATTTTCAGGTGACACATTGTCAGAACTTCTGAAAGTCCTTAAAATCTTATAGTACTTGTCCCTGTTTATTATAATAGTATTTTCTTCATTGCAGGCCTATGATAACGGGGATTCCCAGCTGGATTCCAAAGAGTTCCTTCACTTCCTGAGTCTCAGTCAGAGCACTGATGGGACGACACGGCTACTCAGGTCCTCTTTTGCTGATGCTGTGTTTTGTCCACAGCTTTTGCAGTTTCCTGAAAATCTGTTGTCTCTCCCCAGGTCTCTTTGTGTCGATGCTTTAATTGAAATGTCAGACGAAAATTTAGATTGGAAACTGAGCTTACCTGAGTTCATCAACTGCCTGACCCCCACCTACCACCCGCAGGAGAGAAGTATGGCACAAGTGAACATTTTAAGCAAACATATTGCAGCTACAGTGGAAATAGTGAGTGATGTGTTGTTGCTCTTGTTTGTACTCTGTTCAGAATGCGCTTTGGAGGATGAAGTGTTTGAGGATGGAGCTGAAACCCACAGAGAATGCAACAAGTGTGTGTGCGCTTGCGGGAGCTGGGTGTGCACTGCTCTGACGTGCCACGGTGAGAGCCAATAAGAACGCTTCTTTATGGTTGTGTCCAAACACACTGCAGCCTGGACAGGTTCCCTTTACATTGGGTTTCAGGTGGACATCAGGTGAAGGAGCAAGATGGAGGAGAAGAAGAAATGACAGAGGAGGAGTGGAGAAAGACGGTGTCAGAGCTCAATGCTTTACAGGTTGTTTTTTTTTTCATACAACTGCATTCATGGTATCATCTTAATTTTAATAAGGTCGCTCTAAAATAACAATTCTACACATCTTAAGTATTGTCACTCTACCAATGTGCCTCACTCACTGAGCACCCAAAAAATCAGGCTCAGTCATTATAATCAGTTATAGCAACATATTTAAATAGAAATGTGTGAAGTATGCTAATAACATCAATACAAATCAGAACAAAACATTTAGCTATCTATTCTGTGTGGATGGAAGGCCAGAACCAAAAAAAGAAAAGATTTTTTTAAGAATTCACTCAACGCTGTTATTGTACTATAACTGAGTGGATGAGAATCTGGTTCCATTGTTGCCATTGTACAGTTTTTATCCTGCCATTCTGTCTTATTCATAATGTATAGAGTCATCACCGAAAGTCTTGTTTTGATGGCAGTGAAATTCAGAGTGTGCTCATCAAAGAGTGAAAAACTGGAAATAAAATGAAGTGTTTACACAAGTAACATTGATTAGATTTTAACTTAGAAATACATCAATACATCAAAAATACTAAATATTATTTTCTTTAAATAATCATTAATTAATAAATTGGCTACTTAATGAAATAATGACATTTCCTTTGCCCAGATGTTTAAATGTTTTAGGACGACTAATCTAAACCAGCATCCTGGGCAAAAAGAAAAGGCTTAGAAATGAAATCTCTTAGCTTTTTAGAATAAGCTAAAGGCATTTCCCCTTCAAGTGATCGACAAGCTCTATAAATATACAGTTCATTTTAATGGAGCTAAAAACATACCTGATCACTAATGCATGAACATTTTTCTCATTTGATTCAGGAGACTGGTACCTGAGGACACTTCAGGGCATTTTCCAAAAATGAACTTTGACCTGTTGCTGTGCTCTTCTGTGATGTATTTGTCTGGCCTGAGCTTTTTCACTGTTTCTGTTTGTGTGAACTCAAAATGTTTAGAAGGTTCTGATTCTCACATGATGATTTGGGATTTCACATTGATGTGATTGTAACTTTTGACCTAATTGGTAATCCTGTTTACAGGATTAGTAATCCTAGTCATTTGTAAACCTATTCTGATTTATTAGTAAAATAACTTTGGGTTTATTTATTTATTTTTAAATAAAATAAAATAATAGTACAAGACAATGCATGTGTAAAAATGAAATAAAACAACAGTTTGAATGCGTCTGTCATCAGTAAGGCCTCCAGACAGGCTCCTCCCCTCTCATGCTAAGACACGCCCCTTCCATGTAATTGGCCATGGCTGCAGCGACGTTGCGCTCCTCCGCTGAGCTCTGGTTCAATTGGTTCGACCCGTAGTAGAAAGTGCTGGGCTGGAACTGGGCGCTGTGGCTCAGCGCAGGGGGAGCAGGTGGAGCAGGAGGCAGGTAAGAGGTGTAGGGCGGGGTGGAGAAGGGGACGCTGGGCAGGTGGTGCAGTCTGGGAGCTGAAGTGAAGGAGGATGTCAGAGACGTCACCTGACCAAGAAATGATGATTCGTTGTTCCACAAGGAGGAAAAGGATCTGCGGTCTGAATACATAAAACAACAATAAAAAAGAAGTCAAGCCAAATAAAATTGTTTATTCAGATAGTTTTCAGCAATCATGAACAGAATCTGCTTTCTAACTTTTTTCATGGCGCCTGCATTTAGATATTGCTGATTAAATGTTTTGATAAGCCGCTATGCAGATAATATTCTGATCTACCTGAACAATGGGCCATTTTCACCTAATGCACTTTGCAAAAGTGAGAATATATTGAATTACATCCATTGAATTAAAGGGATGTAATTCAAGGGATGTAATCACAACATCATAATGAAAATGACCTTTTGACCCAGTGGTATTCTTCACTGCCCTTGGATGGATTTGGACAACTTTGAAGATGATCCATTATGCTACTTATTTTTATTGATTTTATTTTATTTTGCACTACTTTATTTTATATTCTTCTATCATATATTCAAGCCTTTGGTCAATGGCATTTGGTTTAAAAGTGCCTCATAAATCAATAACCTACCAGAGTAGATGAACAAAGAACATTTGACATTTTGTAAGAGTAATCAAAAAGTAATCAACATAAAAAAGAATAGTTGTGAATGTTACTGTTTATTTTTTATGGTGCCCTGATCTATTTCATTGTTTTATATTGTTATATTTCACTGGGATCAAAGGTATTTTCCCTTTTATTCAACACTGTTACAATAAGATGTACAATTTGAGATTTCCTTTCAATAATCTGTTTGATCGTGTCATTTGGCTTGGATGCCCCGACTGTCCACAACTCTTGCATATTTGGTGCATTTTATAAGACAGCAGGTTTATCAAGAAAAGAAGCTGTCTTCCTGGTGCTTGAGGAATCATTGTTTTGGTCCTTCCTTTAGAATCTCATGAGGAAAAATGATATACTTCCTGGTTGCTCCATATAACCCGATCTTACATAGCATCTAAGTCACTTGATGTTTAATTACAGATCTAATTGTAGATTGATCTAATTATAGATTTAAATGTAAAACTTTTGACTAGAATTTTACATACAATTTGACTGAGATAAAGATAATTATTTAAACATCCCATACCTAATGGACCAGTACTGCCGATACTGCTGGGAGGCCGGAATATTCCTGATTTCATTTCCTTCTGTCTCTGACCTGATAAAACATAAAACAAAACTGATCAAAAACTGTGATGGTACAAGATCAAACCTTTGGATATTTCTTCCCAGGGTTCACTGACGTCTCGGGAGCCGAGGTCCATCCACAGTGATCTTAATGGCTCTGTGTACAGTGGCTATTTGAGGAGGAGAGGTCAGCACGTTGATCGACAGCGTGAACGTTTTACCTAAAAGGCCAAAACATGGAAGAATACAAGAAGTTCACAGGCAACTTGAGGTGACACTTAAAAACAAGATTCTGCTTTGGCACTTTTTCTGACTGTAGATATGTTTCCATCTAAACTCTCATAAAAATTTTAAGGAAACTTTTGAAATATTGCAAGAAAAGTCAAAAAAGAAAACATTAACTGCAAATTAGGCATTTACTAGCTTGGAATTAATCAACCAGAGTAATTTTGTCAGATGTTGATGCTGTGCCTGTTTGTAATAAACATTGGCTATAAGTGTTATTTTCCAGATAAACATCACTAAAATAATGGTGGCAGCAGATAACATGGATGCTCAAAAATTGAAAACATTCATCTTAAGAATATTATGAGGTGAGCGGTGTACCTCTGCCACTGCGACCAATGAACCGGAGATCGTTGAAGTGGGCATAACCTTGCTTCATTGTTGTTGTGGCATTGCGTAGCTCAGCGCTGCAGTTGTCATCATTGCCAGCCATCACTGTAACAACCACACCGTCTGGCACGTCATTACCCAGAGCAACTACCTGCAAGATGCAAAAACACAGAATCCTAAAAGCTGCAGACATACCTCTAAAATCTTAAACGACTCATCAAACTGAACTAAGGCAGAGACTTAGGGAAGGTTTAATAGTCTGGCAGCTCACAGTGAAAGCTCTTGGCAGGGTCTTGTTGCACCTCCAGTGTGGTGGCAGGATGCTGCAGAGGAAGTTTGGGCTGTCAGTGTGCACCAAGCCTCTCTGGGATGCTGCGCCATGCTGCTGCAACGGCACCCTCACCTCCTGCTCTTCCTGTTGGTGAGGTTTAGGTGATGGAACCTGCCGGCATTTTCCCACAGTATCTGAAGAGGATGCAGAGACAAGTTTGACTTGAGTTCCTCTACTTTTATGTAAGAAATTAGAAATAAGCATTCTTTGTTTAATTAAAATTTGGGAATTTCATGCCGCTGGTTTCAATCATGCAATATAAATGGTGAATGGCTTTGTGCTTGTATAGCGCCTTATCAAGAGGACCCAAAATGTGCTTAACACTGCAGTCATTCATGCACACACTGATGATGAGTGACAGAAGGAAATGGCACCAGAGGGTTAATTGACCAACAACTCATTTAACTCAATTCATTTAACCAATTTAACCTTTTATTTAACAAACCAAGTATCAAGTATCAAATAGTTTATTTGATCAATTGTTCAGCCATTTTCTTTTAACCTCCAGGATCAATAACCATAACTTTCTAAGTCCCACCAAAGTTACCACAGAGTTAGTGCGTAATGTGAGATACAGCAACGTAATGGCAGCTTTTCTGTAACCTGTGATATATATCAACCTGTAACCTGTGATAATTCACAGGTTACCAAAAAAAATTTGTAACCTGTGATATGTCACCGGTTACAGGTTGTTCTTCATGGATAATGAAGAACAAAACTACATTTCCCATCACCCCGCGGTCCCTGAGCCACAGCGTCATCATTCCGCGTCCAAACAAAATTCGAATCAGGAAAAATCAACACTTTGCAGCTCCACTTGAATGTCTCTGCTTGTCTGCGGTGAGACTTTTATTAACTTATTTTCTCTCCGTGTGCTCAGTTCCCCTCTCAGTCCTCCTGTCCTCCTGTTCTCCTGTCCTCCGTGTCGTGTCGCTCGCCGCAGTGTTTGAATAGGAGGGAGCTGCGCTGCTTTATTATTCAGATTGTGCTGCCGGAGGGAAGTCAGTGCGGTCACAGCGCCTGTCTGTCCCTCCGCCTGTCTGTCTGCTGGTGTTTGTTCGCCTCACAGCTTTTCTGCTATCTTGTTGTTTTAGGCTTTTGTCTCAGCCAGAGTTCTTCCAGAGGGGAAGTGACCCAAAAATGTAAAACACCGAACCGACAGCAGGTTTATGGTTGGCACGAGGACGTTAGTGTGGACATGGAGAGGAAAGACAACAGTTTATTAGTTGTGAGACATTAACTCTGTTGTTATGCTAAGCTGGTCAGCACACTCACAGCTTGCTCAGTGTATTATTGATTGATTATTGATTGAACATGTTTGGGTCTTTAGTGTATAACCTGCTGCTGAAGCTCCCTGTCAGACAGTAAAAGTTGTTTATTCTATTTCTATTCTTCTATGAGCATTTAAAATGAGAACATTTTCACAGTAGAATAAAGAGTTTTTTATTTGTTCATTGGTTTTGGAAATCAAAGTGTTCTTAGTATTTTAGTTTTAATGTCACACAAACCTTTATTTTTTCTGCATCCAGTCATCTGTAGGACTTATTTGTGAAACTCCAAATCTCTTTTTTTCCCTCTATGATAAAAGAAATGGAGACTATCTCATGCACAAATAGACCAAGGCTGCAGCACATTCAAAAATACATCATCAATAGTTTGTCAATATTTGGGGTTCAGCAGAGACGTTGGAAATTTATTTCAATTTTTGAAACTTGTTTAGTTGTGCTCATTTGTTCAATACCTCTTGATTAATAGGAACCGTTTTCTCCAATAATTTGCTGCATTTTTTTTTTTCGTTTAGTGATATTATAATAATGAGATACGGGCTAAATGTGCAGTCGTGAAACATTCTTTATCTTAAGTTGCATCTTACACAGAACAAGTGAGTCTTAATTTCTGATTGGCTGGTTCTCAGTTAGACTAATTAAGCAGAAAATTTTAGTCCTAGAAATTAACATGGGTTTCAAACGGATGCTTACAATAAATGTGTATGTTTGTCTGTCATAATCATGCAGATTACACAAGCAGGACGGAATGTGGTGTGAGTAAATTCTGGTTCTGGTTGGGTTAACCTGTGTGTCTCTGTCACCAGGTGGGTAACAGTGATGTCATGGCTGGCTCAGTCACCTCCAGTTCTAAAGAGCGCCCAGCTTCCAGAACCAGCTTCATCCCAGAGCTGCAGAGCATGATGTATGACACACACACACACACACACACACACACACACACACACACACACACACACACACACACACACACACACACACACACACACACACACACACACACACACACACACACACAGACGCTCGCGTGCAAACAGTGGAATAAAACATCTCACCCCAGTACAGCATGGGACTAGTGCTGCTGAACAGACTGTTGGAGGCCATGAAAATCTGTTGAATAAAAGAAAAAAAGCCACAGTTACAATCAAACTGGGTGATATTTTTGGTTAACGTTGTCAGAGCTAAATACAGTCCTCAACTCTTCACTTTGATACATGATTATGTGATAATGTTAATGGTCGTCTGGTGTTCCCAAGAAAAAGCATTGCCAGTAGCAACAAGGCGACTCGTCTGAGTGTGGTGGTATTATTGTCTTTAACGGCGAATCATTAAGATGTCTGTCTTTGCGAATCTCCACTAGGAGGAGGTTTTGCTCGTCCGCCTTGTTTTCCTGCACAAAACTGTCAGCGAAGTGGCAAAATTTCACAGATGTGTGTCACGGAAAATTTGGACTGTACAGAGGGGGCACAGCTGCTGAAATGACGTAACTTGAATGTGCAGCGCAGCATACGCTTCAAGCATAAATAAATCCAGCTTCAAACATAAATCCAGCTTCAAGCATAAATCCAGCTTCAAGCATAAATCCAGCTTCAAGCATAAATCCAGCTTCATGGACTTGACTTAAACAACTGATCACAGTGGATTGGAAGAATAACAATTATTCCAGCAATAATCATTTTCAAAATGTAGTTGAACAAAAATAGCTTCAGGTTTAGGTCAAAAACTTGTATTTATTTATTTATTTAAAGTTTTCAAGATAAAGTAAATATGTTTGTCTTTGATACTTTTTCTTCATCTTTAGTTTAAACCAGGGTGTCTGCTCATCCAAGTCTTATGTTTGGGTACCTAAAATTGAGGCTTTAAAATGTCTTAAGTTAATTTAAAAAGATAAAAACAGTGGCCCTTAAATACATTAATCACAAATCTTACATTTTGCTGTGGCTGCACTATTTTTAATGCATTCTGTGACTCGACTCAGTTGAAGCTACAGCTAACTAGCTGGTTTTAAACCTTTGATAAGTAAATGGGTTGTTATGTCTTATGGATAAGAGCAAATTTATGGGCAGTTGGCTGGATGGTTCATTGTTGGCTGGATGGTTCATTGTTGCCAGCGGCTCTCTGGGCACTGTGCTGCGTAAAGCTGTAGAGAACTTTGCAAAATATGTCATTTTCCTTTATGCATTTCTGTCTTGGTACATGCTGCCACAGCAAAATCATATTGGTCTTAAAATGTCTTATTTGATTTGAAATCTGCAGAAACCCTGTCAAATAATTGTGTATAAAGTAGAGAAACAAATGTGTCAGTTATGTTTGTCAATAGTTCAAATAATATTTCTCAGTAAACATGTCCAATTCTATGAAGCAAACACAATTTTTTACTTTATCCAATTCTTATATCCTTGTACACGTCCTTCAATTGAACTATTACTCAACAAACACAAACAATGAAAAAGAAAATACAGTTTGTGTAGCAGGTTCTGATATTTTTATGAAGTAAACAAAAGGAAAATTGAAATGTATTGTACAGTATAGTTTAGATTTAGTCATAGAAGTAGCTGAAGAAAATGACATGAAATTTAATATTCTAATAACACATTTTCTTAATTTACACTTTTTATCTGCTCTACCTTACCTTGTTCAAATAAAATGTAATAAATCTTATCAACAAGTCTTTGCTTTGCCTGTGCTTTCTTCTTAATAAATTATATTGAATGCATATGGCGGTGCTCACCTCGTGTTTGCAGCAGAGTGGTTCTGGTGGTTCTGGTGGTCAGAGAGGCCCAAACCCAAATTAACCCCAAAACCTGAAACGCTCCCTCTGCCTGGAGCCGCCGATGGAGCCTGAGGCCAGAGCCGTCCGCAACCCCAAACCAGAACTGCTCTCACCTGAGTGACTGACGCCCACACCCAGCCAATCAGAGAGGGGACACAGCAGAAGGAGGGGGGGGGGTGAGGGGGGGTCAGGTGTGTAAGTGATAGGGAGTTGATTGGGAGAAGGAAAGAGGTTGAGGATGTGGCTTCAGGTTGGTCTGTCAGAATGGAAGTGGGCTATCTGGATGCAAATTGAGGTTTGACCAAATTGTGGTCAAACTGTGTGTGTGTGTGTGTGTGTGTGTGTGTGTGTGTGTGTGTGTGTGTGTGTGTGTGTGTGTGTGTGTGTGTGTGTGTGTGTGTGTGTGTGTGTGCGTGCGTGGGAGTGTGGGTGTGTGTGTGTGTGTGTGTGTGTGTGTGTGCGTGTGTGTGTGTGTGGCCTTTCGACCCTGAGTGTGTGTGGGAATATTTGCAAAGCTCTGTTTTTGTCCAAGCTGAGACTTTGAGGAGAATCCATTGTTGCACTTTTTTTAATTTGTTTGTCCATGCAAATGGTGTCCTGAACATAATTCAATCAGAACTGCCACGGCTGAAAGGAAAACAAATACAGCCTGATAGAGGAACATAATCAGAAATCATATAGAAGAGCATAGCCTTTTGTTTCTGGAAAAAATAATCATTTATCAATATTTGTGCTGATATAACAGGAGAATAAGAGGTTATTTAGTCCATTCTGGAACCTCCATCTCTTGAGCTTCTGTTCAGGTTGAGGATGATGATGAAATGTTTCAAAAAGAACCTTAAACCTCTTCACATGTCACAATGTTAAGAGTACAACAAGGTAGCATGGCATTAGGATGAAAAGCAAACATGCTCTCTATCATGTTTTGCTGCTCACTGCAGAGCCTGGTGCAGAGATGCTGTTGGGAAGATGGGTGGAGCTATCTGGAGGAAAACCAGATGGAGGTTCTGACCGTTTGCAGGCTGCTCAATATATCACAAATATATTGCATTGCAATGTCAGCATTCATATTTATATCACAGAGGACTGCTTGGAGTGCAGTAATTGTTGACTAATGTATTCCCAGTATTCTGAATTTTCATTTTATATTCTAATGTCCTCAAAGTCTCAGGACAGCAGATTGTCTCACCAGACACTAACAATGTCACAGAGGAACTGGAAGCACAGATGAGAAATAAAGGAAAGAAGAAAGCAGGCATGAATATCACAACTGATACAGCCTTCTCATTATTTACTAATATTATTGGCATCATAAGATTATCCAATATTGTACTGCTCTAGTTTTGTGTGGCTCCCGGCAAATCTGGTATCTGAGCTCAAGCAGCTGAAGCAGAGGGACATTTTTATTTTTAGGGGAACATTTCCACAGGCAAATAAAATGCTAGATACGACAAAGAACAATATTTCTCATTAGTTAACCAGGTTTCTGCATTCCTATTAAATTTGTAATAAATTGAACCTCGACACAAAAACAGACTTGGGTGCCCCAAAAATTCGAGCCTGTTCTCCTGTCTTCTGAACACGGTCCTGAATGACTATGTTTATGTTTCAGGACCTGCTGAGATTTGCAGATCCCTGTCCTACAAAAAACTGACTGTTTTGATCATTTCAGTGCAATCTTTCACTTTCATGTTTAAGTTATTATTGAGTTATTGTTGATAAATTAAAAAAACAATGCACTGTTAAAATGTGATAGAAAACAAGAAAAAGAGAAGTGGCTTTTAGACTTTGATCATTTCTCTGAATTGTCTCCACTGACAGGAAGGTTGTTTTATGGCTTCTTCATAAATAATAGACAAACTTCTGACTCTATGACCAAAATGTTCTACAAAAAAATCAAAAATATGCTTCTGCTTCATACAACTAACACTTTGTTGCGTTTCAGGTTTGCTCTGGGGGACACCCGCAGGCCTCTGTATGAAACTGCAGCCCTTGTAGAGGACATCGTACACACACAGCTCATCAACATGGTAACACCAAAGACACCACAACGGTTTTTTCATTTCAAAAAAATATTTAATTGATGGTTTTAATTTGTGAAACAGCTGCATCAGGCCTGTGAGGGCGCTGCTCTTCGAGGTTCAAGGGTCATTTCAGCTGAGGACATCCTGTTCCTGATGAGGAGAGACAAGGTAGAGGAAATGCTCACCTCAGGAAACAATGTGTTTTAAAGGGCCAGTGTTGTGTAAAATCAACTGTTTTGGTCTTTACATCATGTTCTAATGTTATTCCCTCACCAATAACATGCCTAGAGTGTAACCTTGATTCTTTCATTGACGTTTGAATTTAATCTCCGTGGCAACTATTCGGCTGTGCAAAATGTGCGGGTGGACTTAGCCCACATTTGAGGCACATCTCCTCCCAGGTTCCGCTCCTTCAAACTAACCCGCAGCAATTAGCAAACTCCTGAAGGAGCTGAGCTTCTTCTCAGTGAAACATTGATAAAACTTGTTAAAGAGTTCATGGAGAAGCCATGTTGTGATGACTTCCTGAAGATGGAGTTTCAGAAAAATCAGTTTTTAAAGAGACAGAGGCCCATTTTCAAGGCGTTAAAAAGGGATGCAACTTTTTTTAAAGTCATACTTTGAGCATTTTTATGACGGTGATGGTGACATAGTTATTTGATTGTGCAATAAAATGTAACTTTGTGTCTGAGAAACACTGCCCCTTTAAAAGTGACCTTGTAGAGTAAAGATGTTTTTTTTTCTTTTTTTGACTATTTTTGTCTGAATGTGTGTTGACCAGAGGAAGCTGGCGAGAGTGTTAAAATATCTTCAGTTTAGAGATTACAAATCCAAACTATTAAAAAATCTGGAGGAAGAAGATGTGCAGCAGGAGCCAGGTAAACAAAACCTTGATCACATGACCAGCGTTGATTTTTATCTTTGACTCACTCAGTCTGTTTGCCGCTCAGGGGGTCTGGCTGCTGGGGGGAATCAGCGCCGGCAGCGGCTGGCCCAGGACTTCCTGGCATGGATGGACCAAACTGGAGAATTTCTTTCATTGGCTGAGAAACAGGAAGTTGACCCAGTCAAACAGGAGAGGATGGAGGTCAGAGGTCACCTTGATATAATCAGTGTTTCTGTAACATAATGGACGATGAAGATAATGACACTGTGTTTGCTGTGTGTGTGTATGTGTGTGTGCGTGCTTGCGTGCGTGCGTGCGTGTGTGTGTGTGTGTGTGTGTGGGGGGGGGGGGTATGAATATTCAGCGTTTGGAACGACACACTAGAAACATGGATCCGGCTCAGTACACAGAGTTCTGTGAGAGCCGCCAGCTGAGCTTCGGTGAGTCCAAACTGCTTTTCTAATACTTTCACTGTTTTATGAAGGGGTCGAGTCAGGGCTGGAACAATTCATTATGGGAATAATCATCAAGTAATTAATTGTTGACTGGAGTATACTGACTCATAAAAACAATGGCTGAAAGAACAAACTCAGAGCAGTAATTAAGTCAAAACTGTATTAAATATATATATACATTTTCTATTGAAGTTAAAAATAATCATCTCAGTTTGGTTTAGCTGGAACTCAAGTGGCAATTTTACATTCTATTAATAAATAAAAACTGGACATAGCAATTTAAAAACAAAACACACAAAACAAAGACTAAATTGTGAAAACATCTGATTCGTTAATGAAAAAAAGCAATATTTAGAACATACCCTCCACACTTATTGGCACCCTGGTAAAGAGCCTTAAGAAAGCTGATGTTTTATTGCAGTGGCATAAATTTTGCATTCTTACATTCAATCCTAATTCAACATCTTTGACTCAAACCTCGATTTTGAATAAATTTGTTATTTATGTGAAAAGAAAAAATGTTCACATTTGCATGTTTGGGGGCCATGCTGGAAATGTTTCTCTGCTCCACCGTTTCTGTCTCTCTTTAATATTGAATTTCTAGAAGTAAAATAATTTTAATATCAGTTAATAGCAGTTAGGATGCATAACCATGACAATAACATATTGCTTCCCCTCCAGTTATCAGCTGCTTAGAATTTCAAAGCTCAAACAAATAAAACTTCAGTTTAAAAGACGAGCAGCAAAAGCAAAAGAGGAAGATCAGCAGTGATATCTAACAATGGATTTCTTACATGCAGAACATGTTACTGTTGATCATTGCATTATGTGGTCCAACCGTCCATTCTTTATCACCTTCATGCTACAACAGCCAAGAAAGCGTCAAAGTTTCGGGACTGGCTGGACTGCAGCAGCCTGGAGCTGAAACCCAACAGCATCGCCACGGAGATCCTCTCATACCTGGCCTATGAGACAGTGGCACAGGTAAAGACCTAGAAAGCTAGATGAGCTGGATGAAAACTGCGGCAGGAGTTTGGTTGTGACATGTTCCTGTTTTGCTCCCCAGATTGTAGATTTGTCTCTGCTGGTGAAGCAGGAGATGACGGTAAAAACCAATCCAGTCAGCCATGTGATCTCAGCCAGCTACATCCACTACAACACACACACCGAGGTACACGCATCAGAACACCGCAGCCACTCGCTCACTCAGCAAGTCTCTTTCATTTATTTCACTCAGTAAAATGTGTGGCTGCAGGTGAAGAAAGATCCAGATTCACCTGAAGCCACGCCCCCATCCACTCCAGGCTCCTCCCACTCCTCGAAGCCCCTCCTACAGGGAAACGGCAGCATGGACAGCCGAGCCAGACAGAGGAAACGGAAAAAGGTGTCCGGCTGCAGGCTTGTGTTGTGTGCCCTTCATGTCGGTCATCCTTTTATTTTCCAGGCTGCTCAAACGAATGCTGTGTGTTTCAGAGCTCTCCAGCCACAGTGGAGCCCCCTAGTGGAGCCATCCAGCCCTGTCACATCAGAGAGGCCATCAGACGATACAACTACAGACACACAGTGGGTACACAGCAGAAAAAACCTCTACTTGCGTTTTCATTATACAAATTCAAATTTCAAAAATAAATTTGCTTAATGGAAACATGGCAATTTTGAAAAAGCTCACTGGTCAACATAATTTCAGCGCTGGAACAAGGCGTTTCTTTAGCTGTATCAAAATTATTGTATTTTTCATGACTGCAACGAAAACATTTTTTGTGCATCACACGAGTTTAGTCTAAACACGACTAAACACAAGTTTAGTCAAACTTCTTCCTGGTTTGGGCCAGATGTTACTACTGGCCCAAACCAGGAAGAAGTAAGGAAGCAGTTGGAAGACGATGGTGTGTGACTTGTTGTGTGATTTGATAATGAAAACACCACAACTGGCTTCTTGTTTTTGATAGATTCTTTGGATTCAGTCTTGAAAATCTATGTACACACTTCATTACGGTGGAGATAGTGGACATTTAAACCTAATGTGAATTCTACTTTACATTAGTGGCATTGGCTCACCGATAAATTCTCCCAGATTTCCTATTGAAATTATTTTTTGCACTACAAAAGTCTCTGCTGGGGGGGAGACAACAGGAAGTTGTAGGAGTATATATTTTTTATTTTATAGCACGAACAAACTTATACATTTTATTTAATGGAAACATAATAGTGAAATTGTTTATAACATTAGCAGAATAGCAATAAAGTTTTTGTCGCATTTGTAATGGAAACACAACTAGTGTGAACCTTTTGCTCCGCCTAGAGGGCAGTAGTGACCCATCCACTTTACAGTTAACAGTCATCCCATTGTTGCTATATTTAGCGACTATTCAACAGTCAGTAATGGTAAAGATCAGTGATTGGTCAGAAAACTGCAAGTAGATTGAGAGTTGTAAACTAACAGCTGTCAGTTGTGATTATGAAAGTGTAATATTTGACTAATATTTTTAACTTTTACCATTTAGATTGTGTGAACTTTGACCCTATGGTGACCCAAGTCTCTTTTTTTCAGAGTGCATACAGGAGGAGTGGGATGGCTTTCCTCACCTGCTGAAGCATCAGAGTTTATGTCAATTTTCTTGTTTGGTTTATTTTTAGCAATAAAGATTTAAACATGCATACAAGGACTTATGGGTTTGATTGATGAAAAACTTTATTGGTCACTGGTACAGAGATGGCGACTACTGAACATGCTCAAAACGCAGCTTGGGGCATCACAGCAACATCAGCACATAGAGGCAGAGCTTCTCAGAGGATTGAAGATCAGGAAAAAACAAAAAAAAAACACTGTTCAATACAACGATGTGAAAGGTTATGTTCTACATGTGTTGCTCAGAACTTCTGTGTGCCGCTGAGCAGAGACTCCCTCTCCATCAGCAGTTCTCCATATCTCTGCTGAAGTTCTTTTTCTCTCTCCATCTGCCGCTCCACATCCTCCCGCAGAGCCTGAAAAACACAGCAGATTTCATCTTAGTATTTATTATCATGTAGCTGTAACCTTCACTTTCTACAACTAATTGAAAAACCAAAATCACTGAAAGTGTTTCATGTATTACCGCTTGTCTCCTAGGAATGGCCAGATCCTCTTGTTGCTTCAGCTGATTGAAAGTCTGCAGCTCGGTGGCTGCCTGCTCCACCTAGTGGACAGCAGAGACATTACATTCCTGCAAACTTCATATTGTAAGAGCAACGATCTGCTGGTGTAAAATCCAGTGTCAGTACCTGCTCCCAGAGTTCATTGTGCTGCTTAAGGAGCCCCAGCGCTCTGGACTGGAAACCACCCAGTAGAATTTTCAGCTTCTTCTCTAGTTTAGCTGCTCTTCGAGCCTCTGCTGTCATGTGGCCTCGGTTCACCTGCAGGGTTCACAAGTACTGGATCAGAACTCACATAGACAGCAGCATAGAATAAAAGAAAACCAACAAGACTCTTCAAAATGTTCTCCACTTTACCTCTAGTTTCTTCTCCAGACTTTCGATTCGATCTTTCTTTGATGCCAGGTTAGCTCGAGTGTACCGGTTCTGACCAGCCAGGTACAGCACCTGTGCAGCAGGACAAACATGTTTTACTACTCTAAAACTTTAGAATGATAAAACTGAGTCAGGGGGATGAATCGAGAGCAGTCTTCCAATGTTTTTTAACCTGAAAACCCCAACTAACTACATCTGAAAATACAGATGTTTTTTTTTTTTTTTTAAGCATGTTATATTACTGTGAACTCAATACAAACAATGCTGTTTTTATTCTAAGTTTAAAACATTAATTAAATTCAGCGAACTCCGCTGCTGGGCAAAACCATCTTACAAAAGCACTGCCACCCTGAGGTGTAATTCAGTATTACACCTAACTTCAATATACTAACTGCCTTTTAATTCTGTTAAAACGTTAAATTGCTAATACAACAAAACCATGTGATCACACCCTTGCATGTCTTACTTTAACTATTTGTTATTCTTGTTAATGTGTATTCAAGGGCAAAAAAATAAAAAAAGAAGATTCATGTTGAAAGACCTCTGATCTAGAGCATCAATCCACCAACATTTCATTTGCTAAGTGCTGCTGTAATCATGGGTTTTACCTGTCCGTAGCATTCCTCCCACACCTGGGTGTAGGCCTCCATGCTGAGGTCTCCGTGGCCCATTCCTGCCTTCACCACCTCCATCTCTGCAGTCAGGATCGCTTTCGCCTATTCATCAACATGTTTAACATCAGTTTAAATGAGATTTAAGAGTTGGACTGAACATCTGCAGACAGTGGTGTGTCTGACCTGTTCCATCTCCTCCGTGCTGATGGGCTTGTATGAGTGGGTTTCCAGGTAAGAGATGTGTGAGGCGTTGTTGGATGTAGAGGTGGGTCCCTTGGTTTTGCCGCGCTGCAGCTGACTGACCGCACTAGATGAGGGGTGGTGCAGGCAGTCGTAGTGCAGCATGGTGATCATTTCCTGTTTGATGAGCTCTTCGGCCACCTGCAGGTCGGTGAGCGGCTCCATGGACGCAGGGCGGAGCACTGACTCGTTAACCTGCACCATGAACAGATCTAGGTTCACACGCTGGCATCTGTGGCTGAGTTTCTATGAACTGTAGATTGACACAAACTGAACTTACCAAAATAAATTTGCTTAATGGAAATACGCCAATTTAAAAAAAAAACGTTTTTCATTAAAAAAGTTTTGTTGCTACAATGAAAATAGATGTATGTCACAAAATGGAAACATGAGTCACATGATCAACAACCAGGTGTCAGTACTGGCAGAAAAGACAAAGAAGACAACAGGAAGTGGTAGGAGGATGATGGGTTTTTTGTTTTTTTGCAGATAATGTGCAGCTGGTGTTATTTATTGGAAACAATGTAAAAAATGTTTTTTTTTACATTAGCACAATATTGACAAAGATTTGTGCAGATTTATGATGCAAACGCAGATTACAAAGATGAAACTAAACCTTCACTAATTGGTCATTTGAATAACGAATCAAAACGAACCTCAGTCGGCCTGGGGAGGTTCCTCTGAACAGATGTGTGCCGAAGTTTCAGCTCCTTCTCTCTTTCTGCGTCCCGTTGAGCCTGATGAAACAAATCAGTAGACTTTAATAAAACAGAGTCAAAAAATCTGAATTACACCAAATCCTTTGAGTGTTTCTGTAACATACCTGCTTGCGTGCCTCTATGTCCGCAGAGTCCTCTACGAATCCGCTCTCCATCTCCGTCTCTTCCAGTTCTTTCTCTGCGTTCTCAGGAAGAACGATCTCAAAGTCGTTCTTGGGGACAGGAAGTGACATCAGGCCTTGTCTCAGCTGCTGCAGGCTTTCCTTCTGCTGTAATGAGAAAACATACAACCTTTAGTCTCCATGTTGTTTTTCCCAACAAATGAACTTCCTACTGTAGGCAAATTAAATCAATCACTCACACATGCTAAAGTATTCACACCCATTCAAGTCATTCATATTTTATAAATAAGCCAGATTCAAAAAGTAATTAATCAATTATTAATTTATCATAACTACATGATAGATTAAAATGATCTTGATCATTTTGTTTTGAGACTTCATGATTCAATTTATTTCAGTTTCAGTCGAGCGTGGTTTTATGTCCATTTTATTTTGAATATTTATTTATAGTCTTCCAGGTATAGTGTGAAGTGTTGTTTACAAAATAAAAGGTTTACTGGGTTTTGAGGGGGAAAATAATTACATAATAATACCTGACAGTAATCTGCAAACATCAATTTTATTGTTTATTGCAAAAATTACTGGACAATTTATGATCCAGTAGAATTTATTGACGGGTTTTTATTTGTGAGGTTGCAACCAGGAACTTTATTTTTCTTGATCATATGTGTCAGTTTAATCACAGAAATTCCCAATAAAATTGATCAAACTCTATGGTTGTAACACGACATAATATGAAAACTCAGAAGGGAATCAATGTTTTAAGAGGCTCGTGTTTTTTTCAGGTTTTCTACCACATGTTTGGCGAACGCCGGGTCTGCCAGCTGGTCCTCTGTGTTGATGTTCAGTTTGTCCCTCAGCGGCGTGCGGGCGGGGGTCAGCCCCGGAGTACCCCGAGGGGTCATCCCCCCAGCCACAGGGGTCATCCCGTCAGAGGCCTGGCCCGGTCCGGGGGTTCTGGAGGAGCAAAGGGAACCATGAAGGCCAGGATGTCGAATTCATAAGAAGAAAACGACACAAATGAGACGTGAAAAAAGAAACTTTTCCACCATTTCTCAACATTTACATAAAGCAAAATAACAAGCCGACAGTTTAGACTCTGCTTCTAAACTTCTTATTTAATTTACGGTTCCAGGTTGATTTTTATTTTGGATATTCAAAGCATCTAACAGTTCCAGTATGAAGTGTTCTTCATAAAATGAAATTGACTCTGAGTGTCTGCTGAACCAGCTGCCTCTACCTGAACGGTGTGCTGAGCACGGTGTTGGGCGTCTGGACCTGCTGTCTCTGGGGCGTCACGCCGCTGAAGTCGCTCTCGTGCAGCGGCGTGTTGAGGCCTCCCTTCAGAGGCGTGTCGATGTTGGTCAGAGCCATCAGGTTCTGGGCTTCCTGACAGAGAAAACACACAACAGTCCAGTTATGCACTGGAAATATGACAAACATCCTACTGAAACAAAACAAGCAAACTACAAATGAGACAGATGTTTTAGATCAGTTAAAGAAATAAGAACTTGCTTTTATTTTTTCCGTCAGTCCTTGTAGGTAAGGATTCGTTTCTATGGCAACAAGAGGCACACAAACAAACAATGGGAGTAAAAGCTGTGTGATTCACCTGCAGTATCCTGTCCTGGGCAGCAGGGGTCCGCGGGGTGCGGAGT